ACTTGATTAGCTGTGGAATGACATCCAGAGTACATCACATGAGAAGAAATAAAGTCATTAAAAAGATAAAGAAAAAAAAAGATGAAAATGGACATCTGAAGAGATTCTGACTCTTGCTCTTCCTGGTAGAGCAGGCAGGTCAAAAGGAAGTAACGATGAAGTTAAAGAGCTGAGCAGAAAGTTTCAGAGGCAGCTCTGGAAGACAACGTAAAATATTAGAATGAAATGTGCAGAAACCTAGAGTGAGAAAACCCCCAAAGGAGAACACACTCAGCATATCTTAAACTGAAAGATGCAAAAACAGTTTCAAGCCTCGAGTTACAGTACAATTTTGGAAGGTTCTATAAACACAATATTAAATAATTCAGGAATCATCAAGAAGATGGAAAGAATATACAGCTGTACAACCCCCCCCCCAAAAAAAAACTAGTCAACATTCCACCATTTCAAGATGTAACATATGAACAAAAAACCAATAGTATTGAAGTTTAAGTTCAATACTATTGAACGTAAGAACTGAGAACATTAGCCAAAAACGAGGCTCCAGGACTTAAAGGACTACCAATTAAAATATTTCAACAAGCTGATGGAGAGCTGGAAGCACTCACTAGTCCATGCCAAGAAATTTGGATGAGAGCTACTTGGTCAACTGACTGGAAGAGATCCACATTTGTACCCATTCCAGAAAAAGGTGACCGGACACAATGCTCAAATTATAGAATGATATTCATGTCACACGCAAGTAAAATATTGCTGAAGATTATCCAATGATGGTTGTAATAGTATATGGACCGGGAGCTTCCAGGGTTCAGATTGGATTTAAAAGAGGACATTGAACAAGGAATATCATTGTTGATGCCAATTGGATCTTGGCTTAAAGCAGAGAATACCAGATACATGTTTACTTGTGTTTTACTGACTATGCCAAGGCATTAAACTGTGTGGGTCATAACAGACGAGATAGCTTTGAGGAGAATAAGAATTCCAGAACACTTCATTGGGCTCATGAGGAACTTGTACATGGATCAAGAGGTAGTTGTGCAAACAGAACAAAGGAATAAATACTACATGATTTAAAACTTAGGAAAGGTGCGTGTCAGGATGGCATCCTCTCGTCACACTTATTCATCTATAGTTTGAGAAAATCATCTGAGAAGCTGGATTATATGAAGAATAATGGGGCATCAGGATTGGAGAAAGACATATTAACAACCTGTGGTATGCAGATGAGACAAACTTGCTTGCTAAAAGTGAGGAGGACTTGAAGTACTTGCTGATGAAAGATCAAGGATTGAAACCTTCAATATGGATTACAACTCATTGTAAAAAAAATCCCCAAATTCTCACAACTGGATCAGTAGGTAACATCATGATAAATGGAGGAAAAGTTGAAGTTGTCAAATGTGTTGTCTCACATAACACAAATATGTTGTCCACAATCAGTACTCATGGAAGCAGCATTGCATTTAGTAAATCTACCACACAAGACTTTAAAGGGTTGGAAAACAAGGATCTTACTTTGAGGAATAGGATGCTCCTGACCCAAGCTACGGTTTCAATTGCCTCATATACAGTGAATGTTGTACCTGGGATAAGAATGGAGGAAAATGGATGCATTTGAATTATGGTGTTGGTGAAGAACCTTAAAAATCCCATGAGTTCAAAAGAACAAACCAATCTGTCTTAGAAGTACAGCCAGAATGCTTCTTAGGAGCAAAGATGGTGAGACTTCACCTCACATGATTTGGAGATGTTGTCAGGAGAGGCAAGCCTCTAGTCCCTAGAGAAGGACGTCACACACAGTAAAGCAGAGGGGCAGTTAAAAAGGGGAAGACCTTAGACAAGATAGATTGATCAGCTGCAACAAAGGAGCACAAACATAAGAACACTTGTGAAGATGGTGTAAGTCAGGCAGCGTTTCATTCTGTAGCACATAGGGGCTCTGTGAGTTGGAACCGATTCGATGGTACAAAAAAACCCCACTGAATAACTGCTGTTTGCTCAAGATTAAGTTCTCTACCTACTTCTTCCATTCTGTCGTCCGCATTTATACCTATCACAGCAGACTAGATAAGAGAGTGCCCACTCGTCCATAAATGAGAGCAGAGGCTGTAGAGACTGGTCACACCCAAAGGGAATGCTTGTTTGTAGTGCCAGGGTAGAGGTCGAATAAAGCTGATCCAGGCGTTGACTTGGAAAGGCCCGGGAAGAACTGTGGGGTGGGTGGGGGGTGGGGTGGGTGAAGGAGGTCTGTAGCAAGACAGACTACAAAGGTGGGAGCAACTTAAGTAATGGGCCTTGGCCCTAATGCTGAGCCTGAGGATGGTCTGAGCCTGCTCCTTGCACAAAGGCCCAACATTACCTTGCCTGGTCCTAAACGGATCTTCACAGAGCTAGAGACCCATTTCCTTCTGGAGTTCTATTCTGCAACCCCAAAATAGAAGAATTGATTATATTTCCTATAGTTCCAAATACTATAAAAGATAGCTCTGCTTATATTTGAAACAGAAATAAGAATTTGTTTCTCTACTAAAATGAAGAATGGTGTTTTAGAATACAATCTTAAAATTATAACTCTATGGTTCTTTATGATTGACGCTATATAGTTATATAATTTGACCCTTATAAAACTCCTGTGAATTAAATGGGTGGGTTTTATCATGCTCATCTGTCAGTAGAAGGAATCGTGGGGTTGAACTCCAGAGAGAGCGTTCCATGGTTAGTGTGTGATAGAACCTCACATCGATTATTCCTTTGAGTCTTAATCCTGTTCTTTCAAATATCCTTCCCCATTTTCTCTGCATTACTGAACCTGGCCTCTTGTTGATGGGTAAATAGCACAAATAGACAAAGCAGACCCTTGAATTTTAGTAACAGCATACTGTGGAAGATTGGGTAATTGACATTGTGAATAAATCCTTGATGACATTGTGCTTTTTTGGATCATTTCATTTTTTCTTATGAAAAACTTTCTCCTTTTCTGAATGAACACACATGCACAAATAATGTGGCTGTAGTGTGTGGATCCCCTGCAACCAATGCTGGTGGCTGTTTGCCCTTCAAACATTTCATATTCTGACTTCAGAGCATGCTCTGCTCAAGGACCGATGGCCAATGAAACATTCCATCTTCAGCATCTTTGTCACTGTGTCCTCTACCTTCCTTCTATGATTTTGAATTCCTTATTCCTTATTCTTCTTCTCACACAGATAACACACTTAATCATTGGTGGTCTCATTGAACCTTTCAAGCCATTGCTAAATTGTCATAATTCACGTCAACCACAGTTTAACATTAAAATTTATATAGGAGTATATCTTTTAAAATATTACCTAAAGTCTTTTGGGGGGTTATTTTGCTCATGTGGATATATATTTTCTTTCTTTATTTTCATCTTATAAAGTACATTGGGTATGTGCCTTCAATTCATTGTACCTAAATCAGTCTGATCTCTTACATTTTTTGAGTGTATAACTAGTGTGTATAAAGATTAGGACTCCTTTTTTTCTAAATACAGGCATATACAGATGTAAATATATTTATATAGTATGAGGGGGAAATAGAACTATGTACATATATTTATAGGTTTAGTATTAAAGAAACAGATGGACAGTGGGCCCCTACTCAAAGACTCCCTTGACACAAGAACACTTTGTTCTAACAATTCGGCAGTCTGAGATGCTCACCTTCCTGGCACGATCACTGAAGACAATGGGTGCACGAGCTAATGTGATGAAGTAAGCTGATGATGTCTGGCTATCAAAAGATATAGCATCTGAGGTCTTAAAGGCCTGAAGATAAACAAGCGGCCATCTAGCTAAGAAACAACAAAACCCACATGGAAGAAGCATACCAGCCTGTCCCAATTTGATCATTGAGGACAAAGCGAGTGCATAAGCAAATGCGGTGAAGAAAGCTGATGGTGCCTGACTATCAAAAGATATAGCGTCTGGAGTCTTAAAGGCTTAAAGATAAACAGGTGGCCATCTAGCTGAGAAATAACAAAGCCCACATGTAAGAAGCACACCAGCCTGCGAGATCACAAGGCACCGAAGGGATCAGGGATCAGGCATCAAAGACCAAAAAAACCTAAAAAACATAGCATTGCGAATGAGGGGGAGTGCGGAGTGGGGACCCAAAGCCCATCTGTGGGAAATTGGATATCTCCTTGCAGAAGGGCCGCGGGGAGGAGACGAGTCAATCAGGGTGCAGTGTAGCAACGATGAAACATACAACTTCCCTCTAGTTCTTGAATGCTTCCTCCCTCCCACTATCATGATCCCAATTCTACCTTACAAATCCAGCTGGACCGGAGGATGTACACTGGTACAGATAGGAACTGGAAATACAGGGAATGCAGGACAGATGAACCCCTCAGGACCAGTGGTGAGAGTGGTGATACTGGGAGGGTGGAAGGAAGGTGAGGGAGAAAGGGGGAACAGATTACAAGGATCTACATATAACCCTTTCCTAGGGGGATGGACAACAGAAAGTGGGTGAAGGGAAACATCAGTCAGTGTAAGACATGAAAAAAAATTATAACTTATCATGTGAGGAGCAGGGAGGGAGGGGAAAAATGAGGAGCTGATACCAAGACCTCAAGTAGAAAGCAAATGTTTAGAGAATGATGAGGGAAACAAATGTACAAAAGTGCTTGACACAATGGATATGTGTATGGATGGTGATAAGAGTTGTACGCGCCCCCAATAAAATGATTTTTTTTAAAAAGAAAGGTTAGGACTGTATTTGTTTGTGGTTGGGTCTCTATCCCCAGAAGAGCCCCATGTAGCTAGCACACACTCAGTAAATACGTATTCAGCAATATGTACTCAGTAAATATTTACTGAGTGAAGGAATGTTTGAATAAATGATTTTTGGAGAGATCAGAAGTATAATCTTTAAATAACCGGAGGCTTACCAAATGTATATTACTGATTCTGAAAGGAAATGAATGCCTCTTATAATTTTCTAAAAAAAACAAATGTTTTGTTGTCTTTTAGTGTTATTTCAGTTCACGAGAAACTATTTAACATCGCACAAATAGCTGGAATCGTGTTGCCAGCAGTTCCCGAAGTTACTTCAGATGAAAGCAGAACTGAAATAGAAGCAGGAGAGAAACCAATTGATGCAGAAATAGAAGTAAGTCATTAAATAATGGATAATTGCATGGCTGTTGTAGGATGAATGGCATTATGCATAATTACTTAAATGGTGTTTTATTTCATCAAAACACAATGATGTAACCAAACTTGAGCTCTGTGTTTCTCTTGCTATCTACTTTCTCTCCTTTGATACCAGGCATGGCACTGCTCTCTCCTGCATGCAATGCGTCTTTCAAAGCTCTTCTAAGCATACGAGTTACAAAAGTCTGACAGCCAATGAGAACAAAGCTACTCTAGAGAAATTACTCATCTGTAACTGAATCCTAAGAAACAATAATCTGTAATGTTATAACATTATTTTCACTGCAACTTTATTATTGAAGCATTTTCATTATCCATATGTGAGGAAACACTAGAAATTCAGATAAACAGATTGTATATATATGCATATATTTTTTCGCATGAAAAAGGTTTATTAGTCTTCATCTGATCACCCAGTTGAGTGGTTTTTGTGAGGACGGATGCTTGGGTTTGGGAGGAGAATGTTTTGCATCAACTGAGAAAAGAGCCACAAGAGACAGATCCAACTGTCAGCATCATCGCTGAAAAGCTGATTAGGGAGCAAGGCTTTAGATCTATGGCCAAATGAGTTTATTAATATTTTAGCCTTGCATTGGAAAGATTTGCCCACCTAGTTATATAGTCATTGGGCACATCTGGGTAGCTTCAGAGCTCCTGTTCTCCCTGCGCCCTGCACCAGCCTCCTGGAAGAGGAGACAGAGGATAGCGGTTCTGCTGCAGTGGCTCCACAAACGATCAACAGAGCTTTCCCAGAAGGGCTGGGCCTTGCATGGTATGTTGCTCATCCCAAACTCACCAGCCAGATAAGTTACTCCCCTCTCCTACTGGGGACAAGTGTGAGGGGTCCAAAAGGTGCCGAAAGTGTCCCTCCTCCTTCAGAAATAGAGTGCACACCCTTTAACCTCTGAGAACGAAAGGCTTAATGAATGCATTTTCTCGCCAAACACTACTCTTTATTTTTTACAGATGCATTAATGTGATATCTTAATTATGGTGGCCAATCACTTTAAAAAAATCGAGCAGGGTTAAAAGGCTTACAATGATAGAGGCAATCTGTTAGGACCAGCCTTATAATCACGAGGGTCCTATGGAGCAATTGTACAATTGAAAGAAAATAAAGAGACAAAGAGTTTAGGGTGCTCACCTCTTCCATGAAGCCAGGAATTAGAAAGAGAGAGCGAGAATATATTCTTTAACAGGCTTATATAATCTTGGAGCTAGCAAGCCTCATCAATCACAGGCAATCACATATAAAACAAGGTGGGCAGTGTCTTACCCTAAGTGTGCCTGGGCCCATTGTGGGAGTAGCCCAATGCCAGTCTTGAGGGCAGGCAGAGGGGCGTTGACCACCTCTTGGGCATGGAGAACAATAGAGACATGTCTGTTCCGATAGATAAGGGTCTGGCTGCATAGTGATCAGCCACGTGCCTGTAAGAAGCATTTTTATAGTAGAATTATTATGGGGGGATGTTGTGGGGAATGATCTTTAGTTAGGAGAATGTGCCTGGAATTAATCTCCCATTCACAAATGTGAAGGTCTTCCTCCATCATTCTTGGCCTTCCACACTCTTTATCATGAGCATAGAACATTGGTCCATGTACATCCTCCTCCCTGTCCTCAGTTTCCCACAGCAATCTTTTGCTCTATCTCTCCTGAACTGCACAGTCTTGCTGTATGGAGGTAATCAGTTTCAACTCTCTTTTAGCTATTGCTCTTATTTGCTATCACATCAATCAAGAGTATGGAATATTAGTCATAAAAGACTAAATATCAGCTTCTATGGGGCCCTGCTCTATCTCTCCATTGATCCAGGCTGGGGTGAATCTACCTTAGAAACATCACAAGTCCCTTACGGCAGGAAGAGTGGCTCCTAAAATTTCCGCCTTATAATTCTCACTTGAGTTTTACTGACCATGTAAGCCACATGCAATGCCAACAAGATGCGCCAAAACTCTTGATTAATAGTGTTAACGGCAACCTAAAAGACTTACAGTTATTTATTTTGGTGAGGGTGGGATTCTTTTTTTTTTTTCTTTTAATTTTTTAATAGGGATTAATACATAAATCAAATCATTCCATAGTTCAATCACGTCCAACAGAATTGTGTGTTTACTACTACAATCAGTTTTCAAACATTTTTTTTCTATGTGGATTATTTTTACATAACACTTTTTTTTTAAGTTATAGTAGGCAGCTCACGCTCTCTACAGGATCCCGTGATTCAGCTCACTCCCTATGGTATCACCGTGAATCCCAGGCAGCCTGATGACAGTGGGTTTGGGTTCTTTTGATCCTCCTTCCCACCTTTACCTGTCCCCTTCTCTCCAATACTGTTATATCAGGAAATTTAGTTAAGTCAGTATTTTCAGATTTTACAACATTTATGGGTCTTTACACATTGTCCGAGTAGTTGGAGCTCAGTCAAGCAGTATACTATCGTTATTTTTTTCTGATCTAATGTCTACTTTCTTGATTTGTCTTTTTTCTTTTCTTTTTCTCAGTAGTCACATGAGCTTTTCATACAGCCTTCCTAAGTTTTTGCCCAAGTGTTCATATCCTCTGAATTTGACGGACGAGGTCACGCTTCTCCATGATCTCGTTATACGGGTTTCTCTTCCTGGAGCCTCCTGTGCTCCTGCTCTGATCCGGCCGGTTGTTCTCTGTGTCTGCTCCCCAACCGTCACTCTGGACCTTCTCATTGCTGTGTCCCAGGTTGAATTCTCAGTCACTTGAATTCTCGCCTCAGTTTCACTTCCCTGAATTTTCTCTTTACTTTTGGTCTGGTATGTCTATTTTTTGTTCCTTAAATCATTTTTGCTACATTGTTATTTGACTGGTTACCAATCACAAAGCATTTTTGTTATGTTGAGGAATTTATTATTATCTTTGGATTGGTTTAAATTTACTTCATTTGTATTTTGTATTTTTGAAAGTGTCAAAGTTGGATATGCTTCTGATTTTCAGATTATAACTGTTGACATTTAGCCTGAATGGGTGAGAAGAGTAGGTGCGTTTTTCATTACTGTGAAATCCGTGAGGCCAGCTGCTTGACAATCCATCACACGAGGATAGTTAGCCGGGTGCAAAATGCCACTCTCCACCAGTTAGGGCTTCTGTGCGCTACACTGGGGTTTGTCCTAAAACAGATGTCTTGGAATTTTGTTTGCACATCCATTTCAATTTCCTCAGATACCACAGCATGATTTACCACCAGATGTTTAATTATGTACTGAATAATTGTGAATCCTCTGACAGACCCAAAATCTCAAACTCAAGATCGAGGGCTGGAGGTGGGGGTGGGGTGCTTCAAAAAGTCTGTGGAAAAATAGAATTAAAAGGTAGTAGAATTTTTCCGTGAACATTTTGAAATCTCCGTGTGTGTGTGTGTGTGTGTGTGTGTGTTTGTGTGTGCCAATCCATCTTTTTGAGGGTCTTCCTCTTCTTTGACAACCAAACATGATGTCCTTTCCCAAAGAATGTTCTTTCCTGATACCTTGTCCAATGTACGTGAGGCACAGTCTTGCCATCCTGGACTCCTAAGACATTCCTAGGAGTATTCTGGTTGGACTTTTAAGGGAGATGTATCTGTTCTTCTAGCAGTCCACAGTTCCTTCCATGTTCATCACCAACACCATAATTCAAAGGCATCAATACTTCTGTCGTCTTCCTTATTCGCTGTTGAACTTCCACGTGTATATGAGGCGATTGAAAATACCGTGCATCGTCTGTGTCCCAAAACCTGAAGTGCTCCCATCGAGTCAATTCACTCACAGGCGCAACTTAGTCCTCAACGTGACCTCTTTACTCTTCAGTGCTTGAAAGAGATTTTGTGAAACAGATTTGCCCAGCGCCATACATCTTTTGATCTCTTGACGCTGCTTCCATGAGCATGGATTCTGGATCCAGTAAGATGAAATCCTTGACAACTTTAATCATGATGTTGGTGATCAGTCTGGTTGTGAGACTTTGGTTTTCGTTCCATTGAGTTGTAATCCATACTGATTTTCATCAGCAAGTGTTTCCTGCCCTCCTTGTCTCCAGCAAGCAAGGCGGTGTCATCTGCAGATCCCAGGTTGTCACCAAGACTTCCTTTAATCTCGATGCCACCTTCTTCTTCCCACAAGGCGGCTTCTCGAGTTATTTACTCAACATACAAATGGAATAAGTGTGCTGAAAACAATACAATGCTGACACATGATTTTCCCGATTTCAGACCAGGCAGTATTCCCGTGCGCTGTCTGTACAGCTGCCTCTTGGCTCAGCCATGATATCCCTTGTGCCACACCCTCTTCTGAATTGAGCTGGCAACTCCTGGTTGATGGACTGCTATAACTGTTGTTGAATTGTTTTCATCAAAACCTTACTTGCATGTGATATTAATGATATAATTTATCCTGCAGATTTTTAATGTGCTTTCTTCCAGTCCTGATGCCACACCCTTCTTCAGGCAATCTAGTCCCGCATTACTTGGTCAGCATACAAATTGATTACGTATGATGAGAGGATGTAGCCCTTACACACACCTGAAACGAATTTTAAACCACACGGTATCCTCCTTGCTCTGTTCAAACAGCTGCCTCTTGATCCATTCAGTTCATTCATGCACAGATTTATTCCAAACATAATGTGTTTAAACATGTATCTAAGATCAGTGGATGGCTGTAGACAAGTTCTCTCTCAATAATACACCTGTTTTAGTCTCATTAGCATTCCTTCAAAAAAAGAGCCAATCCAAAAAGTGGGTTCCAAGGGGATTTGCTGGGTCCATTAAATTCAAGATAGAGCAGTCATCTCAGAAGATTTGTGACTGCTTTGCATGACTCCATAGGGACCATATTTTTTAAAAAATCATTTTACTGGGGGCTCGTACAACTCTTATCACAATCCATCCATCCATCCATTGTGTCAAGCACATTTGTACATTTGTATATTTGTTGCCCTCATCATTCTCAAAA